TGTCTGTGCATAAGCACAGATATATCAGCTTTTCTCTATCTCTTTATTGTGTATAGAGCTGACTGAGAGAAGAGTTAAGTGATGTAAATGCATGTTTAAGCTATAGGATTTTAAAAGAAAAGGCATTCTTCAAAGAACTTCAATGCTTCTTTAAGGCAAAAATGGTACAGTTTCAGGTGCACATGGGATAGTTACATCATGAGGTACCCAGTGATGACCTAGTTACTGGCTCCATTTGGAAATTGATCATGACAAAGAGCTATGTGTTTGAATATCACGTTGACAAAAAATAGAATTGTGGTTAATAGTGACTGTTAGAATCACTATGGAAATAAATCTCTGGTTATATTTGTGAGAGATTTTATATATTAGATTAATTGAAATGGTAAACCCCAACATAAATGTGGGTGATATAGTCAATTACATGAACTAGAGTGCTACATTACATGAAAGGAAGAAAGAGCATTGAGCAACAGCAGTCATCACTGTCTTCATCCTGACTCTGGACACATGACCAACTACTTCTTGCTCCTAATGCCTTCTCTTCTCTTTAACTGTGAGTCAAAATAAACTCATCCTTTCTAAACTGATTCTGTTATGTATGTTGTTGTAGCGTGAAGAAAAGCAGTGTGGAAAATAGAGTTCACCCTCTTTCTCCACCTCTGGCCATCATTTCCTTTCTACATCCCAGCATCCCTACCTGTTGGCACATTTACCAACACTACGTAAGGAATTCTTCACCGTCTACTTTTATGACTCCTGTGTGGTTTGTTACTATTTAAAATTTTGTCATCTAATCATGCATTATTAGTAGCATCTATCATATGCCATGTAGGCTTCACAAGTTAACCTCAGTGAGATTCACAGTTATCCTTAATTTACCTAATCAATGATGGACAGATATAAGAATCTGATGACTATTTGTCTTAGGGTTTTATGGCTCTGAAGAGACACCATGACCAAGGCAACTTTTATAAGGGCAAACGTTTAATTGTGGATGACTTACAATTTCAGAGGTTCAGTTCATTATTATCACAGCAGGAAGCATGGAAGCATGTAGGCAGACATGTGCTAGAGAAGGTGAGAGTTTTATCTACATCTTGATCCACAGGCAGTTAGGAGAAAACTGTATCCTTCAGCAAGACAGAGTTTGGGCAGTAGGAGCCATCAAAGCCCACCATCCAGGGTAATCCACTTTTTTCAGCAAAAACACACCACCTAATAGTAGCACTTCCTATTGCTAGCACTTGCTAAGCAGATTCAAATTATACATTCCTTTTCCTAGCTCTCATAAGTTTGTCCAGATACATGAGTCTATGGGGGCCACACCTAGCCATACCATAATGTAAAGTATGTGTAGTCCAACTTCAAAAGTCCCTAAGTCTGTAGTAGTCTCAACAATGTTAAAAATCTAAAGTTCAAAGTTTCTTGTGAGATTCATACAATCACTTATCTGTAAACCCCTATAAAGTGAAAATCAAAAAGCAGATCACATACTTCCAACATATCATGGAACAGGATATACATTACCATTCCAAAATGACATAGTGATGAAACACTGGACCAAAGAAAGACCAAAAACCAGTGAGTGAACTCCAAATTCTGCATCCCCATGTCTGATGTCCAACCCCTTTCAGTGTTGAGGACTGTAGCAGCCTTCCTTCGGTTGAGCTGGTTCCACTTCCTGATAGAAGCTTTCTTTATCAGGTTTCACATGGCTCTGGCATCTCTAATGTTTTAAGGTCTCCAAGGCAACTTCAGCTTCACAACTTCTTCAATTTTTTAGATTTTATTTATTGTTTTTATTTATTCACTTTATATCCTGCTCACTGCCTCCATTCTTGTTCACTCCCTCCTACGATTCTTCCTCTTTACCCTCAACCTCCCTCTCCTTCTTTTCTGAGAGGATGGTGACCCCCCCTGGGTATCTCCCTACCCTGGCCATCTGGATGGTTTTGGTCCCTGGATCTTCCTGTTGTAGAAGGTATTAGGAGGGAGGGTTAACCTCAATGGTCTTGGTGTGGCAGGCCTCTGATAGGTATCCCTAGGCTGTATGGATCTGGATCAGCAAGTCTGTATGGTTCAGGATCTGAAGGTCAGATGATTGTGGGCAGAGAGGTGGTTGGAGAATAGAGTTCTAGTGGGTGGGTATACCAAACTGCTCAGGTCAACTGGAGGTGCCTCAGAGAACTCAGCAAGCAGGGAAGATGAATGGGTCAAGGGAAACTAACCTGTATTGTTTGGGATCTGTAGGTCTGATGAAGGTGGATGAAGAGGTAGTAGGAGAATGAAGGTCAGCTTGGGTACCCAGAATACTCAGCAAGCAAGGAAGATTGGTAGGGGAAGGATAGCTAACCTATATGGTTCAGGATCTGAAGGTCTGACAAAGGTATGTGGGAAAGGTGGTGGGAGAATCAACTTTACTTCTTGTTTCAATGTCTAGGATTCACATGTGATCTTCTGGGGTTCTCAAAAGGGCTTGAGTCACTTCTCCAGTTCTGCCCTCTATAGCATTCTAAGCTCTGGCTGACTCCACTACTGCTGCTGTTCTTTGTGGTCATCTTATAGTACTGGCATCTCCAACATTTTGGAGTCTTGTGATGTAATTAAGCTGTCTTCATGGTACCAAGTCTCAGCTTCTTTGCATGATCCCTTCAGTTCTGGGGTGTCAACTACAATTGAGATTCACTTTCACTAATGGCCTTCCCTGGCCTCTCCCAGTGTCAAGCCTCAGCTGCTCTCCATGGTCTTCATGCCTTCAAAAACAGTACCACCTGGGTGATTCTTATTTATTACTAAATCCAGCTATAACATGAGGCACAACCTTGACTATTTCTGGAACACAGCTTCTTTGTGCTCTAAGAACACAATTCCCAAATCTCACCTCAGTAATGATGGTCTCTTGTTAATCACTGCTAATTTCTTAGCTCCAGCTAACCAGCATCAGTTGTCCCAGTAACCTCTTCTATTCCTCCTGACTTTAAAGCCAGAGCTATAGAGCTGAAGCTGCTGAGTTCTACTGCTTTCTGGGGCTGGAACATGACCTCCTTTTTCTATTACATAATTCAATACTTAAGGTGGGCTATCCTGGAACTTGTTCTGTAAGATGATTTTGAACTCAGAGATCTCTTGCCTTTGTCTCCTGGGATTAAAGGCCTGTACCACCATGCCTAGACATAAACATTCCTGGCCACTATGCCTCAAGATCTGGATCAAAAGTGTATGCCATCCAGCCTCAAGATTTAGATCACAGGTATGCTCCTGATTTCTAGATTGTAGTTCATTTCAGATTAAAAGTCCATATGAAAACAATAACCAGGTCATAATAATGCCTAGATGTAATTATTCCTATTCAAAGGCAAAAAAAAAAAAAAACCAATCTTGTCCTGAGGTCACCACTCTCTTAATCTGTTAATCTCCTTGAACACAAGATTCAGTTCCAGTCTACTCCTGAGGCCCCTTTATTACTTGAACCATACATATTTGTATTTTTCCTTTCTAAGCTTGCTAGGTCTGGTCAAAATAATCTTCATGAGAGTAAATCAGAGGACAAAATCTATGCTGGGCTTTTTTAGACTTCCTCTATCAATTCAATTAATTTGAATCTCTTCAAACTTAATCTCAGACAGACTATCCAGATAAGGGCACAAAGCAGCCACATTCTTCACCAAAATATCACAAGAGCAGTCCCTAAGCTACACACTGAAATTCTTCTCCTCTGAAACTTCTTGAGGTAGGCTCCTACAGTTCAAATCACCCTTAACACTAGTGTCTTCTTTGCTTCTATTAGTATGTTCTGTTAAGCCCAACTTCAAACATTCCACTGTTTTATAATCTAAAGTTCTAAAATCCACATTCCTCCAAATATGGACAAAAATATGATCAGACCTATCACAGCAATACCCCAGTTCCTGGTACCAACTTCTGTCTTAGGGTTTTTGCTGTGAGGAGACACCATGACTAAGGAAATTCTTATAAAGGAAAACATATAATTGTGGCTGTTTTGTGGTTTCAGAGGTTCAGTCCATTATCATCATGGCAGGAAGCATGGCAGCATTCACACAGACATGTACTAGAGAAGGAGCTAACAGTTCCGCATCTTCTTCCAGGACAGTCAGAAGACTGTGTCCCACAGGGGACAGAACTTTAGCACTAGGAAACTTCAAAGCCCACCCACAAAGTGATGCACTTCCTCCAACAAGACCATACCTCATAATAGGACTTCTCATGGCCCAACCATATTCAAACCACCACACCCTAATAAGCAATATTTCTATGCAAAGAGAAACTGAAAAGGTCAAGGTAGTGCAGATTACCTCTTAGGTCTGTCTCATTTTGAATGAGCCTGATTTTCTTTTACTTCCCTCCAGTGGTATAAGGATATGTTTACAATTTTTGTCCATGACACTTCTTCAACTCTCAGCATGACATGGAATGGGACAGAAAAATCTCTGATACAATGGGCCACCTACCTTTAGATCTTCAGGAGAAGGCTATTTCAGTACTTGTTGGTTAAGATCATGGTACAAGTTTCATGTGACAGAGGTAATGAAGATAAGCAGGCAAGTGCACACCTAGATTATAGATTGTAAGCACCTCTCTAAATTTTAACATCAAAAAGCCTGATATAGCTGTGTGCTTTAAAGCCTGTACACACACACACACACACACATCAGGGAGAGAGAGAGAGAGAGAGAGAGAGAGAGAGAGAGAGAGAGAGAATCTAAGGGTGGGTATTCTTAAATATCAGTGTATGGGAAGTCCAGGCATAAAATAAGGAGATATAAGCTATCATCAACAGGGGTGCAACTGTATTTCATGAAAGTGTTTCTATAATGTAGGTAGATGTGGGCTGATGTGTATACTGTATTTGCATAGTTCTGCATTTTCATAAGTCATCTCAATGTTATTAAGCATTGAATAAGGCTAAGAAAAACAGACTTGAGAGGCTAGAGCAACCAGCTTGGAGGCGGGAGTGATCTGCGAGCAAAACCTCCACCATGAGTCTCCTCCATAAACCAAAAATTGAGATGACCCCAGAGGAGCAGCAGAAGCAAGAGGTGGAGGAATTCAACACAGGTCTCCTCTCAGTGCTCAGGCAATCAGTGAAGAACAACACACAAGTGCTCATTAACTGTCGCAGCAAGAAGCTCCTGGGCCAGGTGAAGACTGTCAGGAGCCATAATGGGACAAGCTAATAATTAGCAGGTGATCATCCTGAAATGGCTTGTCTTGGATCATTATATAATCTGCAACAAGTGAGTTCTGATTCAGCAAGGCCGTAAGGAACTTATTTTAGGAAAGATTCCTGCTATTAATATGCTTTTCCTATTATTCTTATTAAACATATGTAACAATCACTAAGCAATAGCACACCCCTTTGGAGCAGATATCTGCAGATCCATGAAGATGTACTGTCTTATAGTGATGCTATATAGACAAATAGATGACTTCTTAAGTCTTAAAGATGATCTGATAAGAATTCTTAAAATTATGTCAATGATTATTAAGCTCTTTTATAATGGGACTGCTATTAGGTACTTTTCTGATACTCAAAACTGCAATGAGAGCTCTGCCAGTCTCCCAAGTGTCATCAGTTAATTGTTCTTAGTAACCAGACTTTCTCCTACTCAGAGCACATTCCAAGAGGTTGTAAAACAATTAACCAAAGGTCACTAATAGGGAACTAATGGTTTTTATAGGTGCTAGGACAGAAGATAAAATATTGCCTGGGTTTATCTATACAAACTTCACTAATTTGTTAGTTATAGTTTTAAACCGTCAGTGAATCTGTGGAGCTAGACAGGTGATGGATGTTTAGCCAGATAATTACTCCTAATGGATATGCATGTAATCATTCTCTGTTGTAAACTTCTATATCAATTTATGATTTTATTTTTGGTGTAAACTTGTGATGAACTTTGTAACATGTGACCATGTACTCTGAAAGATGCGTAAGTACCGAAGACAAAGACAAAGAGAGTAGTAGTAGTAGTAGTTAGTCGTTCGTCCCTTCCTTTCATTTTCCCCTGCCTAGAATTTTTTTTCCTTAGAATTTTCCCCTTATTAGAATTTTTTCCTTTTACCCACTTTGGACCTTTCCACTTTTCCCCATAGATAACTTTCATAGGAAACTTTTTACATATAGTAATAAACTCTATAATAACTTCAAGTGTTTTTTCTTCCTGTGACCTCAGACTAGCAGGCATAAGTTAGGGCCCAGTAGTTCCTGTTGAGATAAAACAAAGGCCACATTGCCTAATCCTCTGCTGTTTTGGGGCTGAGGTAATAAGTGTATTTCACAGGCACTGCAACACGGTGCTGGAAAATGTGAAGGAAATATGGACCACGGTCCCCAAGAGTGGCAAGGGCAAGAAGAAGTCTGAGCCTGTCAAAAAGGACCACTACATCTCCAAGATGTTCTTGCGTGGGGACTCAGTCATCGTGGTGCTACAGAACTTGCTTATCGACAGCAAGTAAAGTAGAGGCCTCAGCCCTCTGAGAGCCTGCTCCCTGCCCTGCTGAGGCCTGAAGAACCCTGACCAATGGGCTAGAAATAAAACTCTGTGCTTTTTGTTTAAAAAAAAGAAAGAAAGAAAAGAAAAGAAAAACAAACAAACAAAAAGAAAACCTGACTCTAGGAAGAACAAAAATTTTAAACGGCCAACCTATGCATTTATGTGGCTCAGATAAAAGGCAGGCCAGAGGAATACATGACTGGCTTTGTTTTGTGTGTGCTGTCCACAAACCGGGGACAAATCTCCAGTATCCATAGTCCTCACTGAACATTTCTCTTATTTCCTGTGGGAACTGAGTTACAGAGTTAGTGACCATTTATTGTTCTGGGCCACAGGTATTCTAATCATGGCATACATGTGGTCTTATGAGACAACTTCCCTTGCCCAGAAATCACTTTGGAAGAGGAATAAGAGATCTTTGCTTCATTAGCAGCTTGTTTAATTCAACTACACAGTCTTTTCCCCATCAGTCATATTTAATGATACAAGCCCACAACAAATTTTAATTATGTACAAAATACCTGGGAAAAGCAAAATGAAGTGGGCCCTTAAGAACATTACTCTCCTGTCATATTAAGTACACTGAACAGCATGATTCTTGTGCACACAGTTGCCATTAGTAGATACTATAAAGATTGGATTGTTTTCCTAGGAGTGACCAAGGAAATACATGTAAGTCCACATGTGTATTCTGCAAATGAATTAACTTGTCCTGTGAATGGCTCTGAGCAGTTCTGACACTCACTGCTCCCTGTATTCATTCTCAGTTGGGGGAAGGTGTCTAGAAGTCAGTAATTAAAAACAAACTGTACAAGCTACTGAGTCAGTAATGCCTCCAGTGGCCACACTCTACACAATGACATGGTCCTTCTGTCATTTGAGCTGAGTCTCATGGTCTGAAGCTCTGAAGAAAAAGATTAAAAGCACAGAATATTTTGTGGAAAAGGCTTCTATTTAAAACATGTGTTTTAATAAAATATCAACATTATCTGCCTCTCATTGATGAACATTCTAGAATACTTTTATCACATCTTAAAAATATGCAATAGTGATCCAGATATGAAAGGAGACACCAGTTTCTTTACATCACAGGTGGGAAGTTGCAGGTGTTCTGGTGACCTCAGATCCTGGAGTGTGTTCTATAGAGCGAAGGCTATTCCAGGGGAATAGCAATCAGTTGTTAGATGCAGAATTGGACACTTACAGCATGACTTCACTCTTCTCTTATAGTTTATTGTCATGATGCTGATGAAGCCTAGTTAATAATGCAAATTACAGCACAGGGGTGCCCTTCATAGTTATGGTTAAGTGATTTCTCCAGGATGCTAATGATGAAGTGCCAGAGGCAAGCTGTACATGCAGTTCATTTTGTGATTTGTGACCCTCTTTTGTGTGTATCTAGCAATGCTCTGTATCTCAGTTTTGCAAGGTCAATTGTAATGAATTTGTCTCCATATCTATGCTAATATTTTATTCCAGTATTCTTTACCAGCTAAAATATGGCCTAAGGATTATATTGTATTTTGTATATGTGCAATGTGATGTGTTTGCGGACATTTATGTGAGAATGCAGGCATGCTGGCACCATGCCATACATGTGGACATCAAAGGAAACTTTTAGTCTTTGCATTTCAGCATGTTTGGGATGGGGACTCTTGTTTCATTACTATGAGACGCTACTTGACCTACGAACTTCTGAAAATTCTCCTGCCTCAGATTCTCATCTCCCTATAAGACTTCTAGGGTTTCAGACTTGCCTGCTATCCTGTCTGATGTTGCAGGATATTTGATCAGACTGTACACCCCAAATTATGTTGTTTACTGGAAAAATCTGTTTCTAGTTGCAGTGTGGCTCAGCCTCAGCACACCCCTTTCATTTCTCTAGCTGGAATACAGAGGTGTCCTTAGTAAACACTTTTACTCCCAAACAATGAAGATAAAGCTAGTTTGTAGAAGGAAGCCCCCATGTTTAAAAATGATGTCTAATTGAGAGGCAAACAACATGAAAAATCAGAGAAAGATTTGACAGAATAGGATATGTCCAACTCTCAGGATAACAGAGAGAAAAGAGAGGCTACTTAAGACAGCAGTATTAAAGGGGGCAGTTTTACTAGGAGAGTTTTACAGAGACCGGTTGAAGACAGAACAAGCTAGACCCAGGTAAAGACAGAATGAGCCAGAGAATGAGAAGGACCCAGAAGATTAGAACATGTTGCCAAAGTTAATTTGAGGCCAAACAGAGCAAAAGTCAGAGGCCAAGAGAGAAGCCAGATTGAATCAGACAGTGTGGCGAGGAGTTTTGAGCCAGAACAGCTAAGCTGAACCAGCCAGCCAGAACTCAGAAAGAACAAGAAAGGGTGCACTTACGCAGCAGCAAGTCTCAGAGGCTATAAACATTCTAAGTCTAGATTAGATTGTATGTAATCTAATAGTAGTAGTAGTTCTGGAGGCTAGAAGCTTCCAGGACTAGGCCTGGGTTAGCAGATGGAAGCAATAAGCCTCAAAGGTAACAATTAACTTCAGGCCAATAAAAGTTATCATTACAATTTGGCTTTATCTGGGTTCTGAGAATTCAAACTTAGGTCCTGATGCTTGAGCCGCAATGATTTACCCATCAAGCCATCACTATGCTGATGTCTTAATATAGCACAATTGAAATTGCTTTTTAAAATCTTAATTGACTTAGAACATAGTAAGTAATTTTATTAAGTTAATAAAACCCTAAGATATTGCACACAATCATACTCAAGTATAAGTGAAAAGCTTTTAGCTCTTTATAGGAAATACACAAATGTTGTTAGAATTTATTGGTTTCTCTTTTGGAAAAAACCAATAGCTGAAATAATATTAGATACAGAATTTGAAGTTGATGTTTTCAGTCTTTTTCTTTTTTATGTTTTTACCTAACTGAGCAACAGCCATACTTAATTCACACACACACACACACACACACACACACACACACACACACACAAGGTGCTCCCTGAAGGCCTTTCATGACTGCTTATAGTTTATTTTTAATTTTTGAGTTGATTTTCACTGATCACCAGAACATAAAAATGTTCAAACTAGAATATGTGTGTATATAATGTCTAATATTTAAATTAGGTTGGGCATATCTGTCTCTTCAAATATTTGTTAATTTTTTTTTCTGGCAAACCCAGTAAACATCGTTTCTTCTGGTTTTCAGGGAATGCCACATTATCCATACCCTAGAAAATCTTACTGCTTTCTAGCTGTAATTCAGTATCCATTGATTAACCTTTCTTCATACCCTTTTCTCTTACATTCCTGTCCCTGGCCACTACAATTTTACACTCAACTTTTGTAGGGTCATCTTTTAAGATATAGATTACTTCTTAAATTTCAGTCCATCCTTGAGTTTAGGAAGCTACTGTCACTATGCCCATTTGGATGGATCATCTCCAAGCCTCCTGCTGTTGTTATTTTCTTTCCTGTTGCCTGTTCACCTCCCTCCCAGTCCCCAGTAACACTCACTCTGCATCCGGCTCTCCTGAGGTACATAGGATGGTCTCAGCAGCCACAAGACTGGATTGGTATCCCCATAATTTTGCTCCTGACTACCTGCAGATGACTCTTCCAGCAGATTACAGCAGGATTGATATGTTTTGTAGTGCGGTGGCATGGTGTAGTGGGAAGGAGTGCCTTAGCAGGCCCATGCTGAGGTACACCCTCTCCATAGGTACCAGTCATACCTTATAAAATGAGGTTTATTTGGAGCATGGGAAGAGAGTGTGGGGAAGGGAGTAGAGGCAGAGAAAAAAAGGGAACAGAGAAGGACAGAGAGAGAAAAAAGGGAAGAGGCTGGCTGACTGGGAACTCCTGGAGAGAAAGAGGGAGGAGAGAGAAAGGGAGGAAGGGAGGGAGGGGAGGAAGGAGGGAGGGAGGGAGGGAGGGGGAGAGGGAGGGAGGGAGAGAAGGGGAGAGGGGGAGAAGGAGAGAGGGGGAGAAGGAGAGAGGGAGAGATGAGGGGAGAAAGAAAGAGAGTTCAGGGAGAGATAAGGAGAGGGAGAGAATGAGAGAGAAGAGGCTCTACCTATCTGTTACTAGGTAACTGTTGGGTGGAGCCTAGAAGAAATGCTAACAAGGTTGTCATCCATTGTTATGAAGAGAAGTTTAAAATGAAATTTATGTGTCACACACACAATTAGCAAATTCCTGTATAAAAACAGTTATCATCTTGGGATTGTCTCTTTTCACCAGGCAGAAACTTATGTGTGTCCCAACTGGGCTCTGAGCAGGCTTGTCAGCTAGTCATTTGCTGTGACTGCTGGAACAAGGAGTAAATCACTGCGCAATACCTACTATAGGGCTTGTTGTAAGTGAGTTGTGTGGTAGGTCAAAACTAATACAATTTAGTGATTTCAAATGCTTTGGAAACAAGACTTTTTCAATTGCAGACATGTGATTTGGTTTTGATTTGTGCCAACTCTCAGGATTACCAAAGCAAACAAACAAACCCACACAATTTCCTTTGCTAAGCACTTGTGATGAAGAGGTGCACACTTTACCTTCAGTTCGTGATGAGTTCATCAAGAATACAGAACCTTACTCTTAATTTCCCCTTCCTGCTCAGGCCAGTAGATTTCTTTAGATTTCCCTCCAAAATGTCATTTTGAGCTGAATAATCTCTGCAACAGCAGTACCTACTGCCTGCTGTCATTGTACTATTGTCCTATTCAGAGGGCATGCTCAAAGCCTCCTGGATTCTTCACATTTCACTAACACATTTTAATTATCTCCCTAAGAAGGAGTTCTGGATGATGCACCTTGGAATTTGAAAACAGAGATGCCTCTTAATGTACAGTGGATTCTTGATAAACTCAACACAGTAGCTTAGCAACAAACTAAACTATAGAACATAGATTATCTCCTGGTTCTGAATGGGGGCATCAAGAGAGTACATGACACCTTTATCAATTACTGGAGTGAGGGGTGGGG